ATGAGTACTTCTTTCAGCCTTATATAAAGTGAAAAAATATTAAATTCACATAAAGAGGTGCAGTCCTGAGTGCAACAGTGTAGCAGAAAGGACCATCTACAAACAATTTGCCCTAGTGGTCCAGTACCTGCATAACATGGTGTGATGCAGGGGATAATTCATACACAACATCTGTTTCTAAACCCACATGAGCTGAGCAGGTATGCTCCATATCAAAACATGGATTTATAAAAAAAGAAAAAGGTAGAGAGAGACTGCAAAGGAGACAGGCTCTAGAGGGAGCCATATTCAACTTGCCTTGCCAGAGAAAATTACACAAGAATGGAAAATTATCTTATCTTCTCACTTACAAAAAAGCATTCAGCTAGAGTACATATACTTTATATAACCTCCCCTATAGTCTCTCTAGAAAATACACGTGGGACGGGGTTCAATTAATTCAGCCCATTAGCTGAATCAAGACCACATTCAGATGAGGACAAGAACACCACCAATATATTGTTTCCATCCCTTACAATTTATTAACTTTATTGATCTGCTAGGTCCAAGCTACAGACCTGGTCTAATTTGTTACATTTTCTTCAGTTCTAGTTACCTTGGTACTGGTGATCTGAATTACTGTCAAAGTTTGGTTTTGCAACAGTGGGAATAGAAACTATACATGTACATCTCTCTCTTCTATAGGCCACATAATGGAAGACTGATCTGTAACCAGTCAGCAGTGTGAGAGATGACATTCTCAAGTCTGAACAAGCCTAGGACATACTTTTTCAATCAGTTGGACCCTCACTCTACCCGTAACCCCCCTGGGGCTAATGGGACCATCAGGCAAGAAGTTAGGCCCCAGCATAGATAAAGCTGTCAGAATCAGGCCCCCAACAATTATAGTCATTCTGGCATGAAGCATCACTTAATTTTGAGTTCAAGAATTCTTTGAAGAAATAAGTATTTCTACAACACACTGCAACCATTTTCTCAGCCTATCATACAGAATCATAGAATCATAGAATCGTTAAGGTTGGAAAAGACCCTTAAGATCATCGAGTCCAACGATTAACCTAACACTGCCAAGTCCATCACTATACCATGTCCTCGAGCACCACATCTATCTGTTCTTTAAATACCTCTAGGGATGGGGACTCAACCACTTCCCTGGGCAGCCTGTTCCAATGCTTGACCACCCTTTCGGTGAAGAAGTTTTTCCTAATATCCAACCTAAACCTCCCCTGGCGCAGCTTGAGGCCGTTTCCTCTCATCCTAGCACTTGCTACTTGGCAGAAGAGACCAACCCCCACCTCACTACAGCCTCCTTTCAGGTAGTTGTAGAGGGCAATAAGGTCTCCCCTCAGCCTCCTCTTCTCCAGGCTAAACAACCCCAGCTCCCTCAGCTGCTCCTCATAAGACTTGTTCTCTAGACCCTTCACCAACTTCGTTGCCCTTCTCTGGACACGCTCCAGCACCTCAATGTCCTTCTTGTAGTGAGGGGCCCAAAAATGAACACAGTACTCGAGGTGCGGCCTCACCAGTGCCAAGTACAGGGGCACTATCTCCTCCCTGGTCCTGTTGGCCACACTATTCCTGATACAGGCCAGGATGCCATTGGCCCTCTTGGCCACCTGAGCACACTGCTGGTTCA